CGCTGCCGCTGCTTCCCCTCCTGCTGCACCCGCCTCTCCTTTCCTCTTCTCCGCCCCTGCTGCCCCTGCCGCCGCTGCTCCCTTCCCTTGCTCCTTCCCCTTCCCCTGCTCCTGCCCCTTCTCCTGCTGCCCCTGCTGCTTCTTATCCTTTGCAGCGCCCTTCTTCCCCTTGGCAGTGCCGCCAGCAGCAGCACTGGGCTCCTGAACCACGGGATCCGCGCTGGGGAGAGCTGCTACAGCTGCTCCAGCTGCTCCAGACGCCTTCCCTGCTCCCTGCTCCTCGTCCGTAATCTCTACTATACGCACTGGAAGGGTTGCGTGGGGGGAGGCGAGGAGAGGGGGAAAGACAAAGCAAAGATGTGCAAACGGCTGCTACGGCCGCCTCCTTCCCGTTGGCAATACTGCCGCCAGCATAATCACTGGGCTCCTGAACCACGGGCACGGCGTTGAGAGAGCTGCTACAGATGCTACAGCCTTTACAGCCGCCTTCCCTGCTCCCTGCTCCTCGTCCGTAATCTCTACTATACGCACTGGAAGGGGGGAGGAGGAAGAAGGGGGGTAAGAAAAAGGGAGAGAGGTGGGGAGTAGGCACTGAGGTGGCTTTGATTCGAAAAGAATCACCAAGGGGGGAAGAGGTGGGGAGTACGCTGTGCGGAGCAGGGAAAGAAGGAGAAGTTGAGGGAGGAATTGCGTGATGATGCAAAGTAGGAAGAGAGAACGGAGCAACAGAGAGACAGGAGGGACAGAGAGAAAATAGGCACAGAGAGAAAGGAGGGACAGAGAGATGGGAGAGACAATGGGGAATGAAGGGCTTTGGGGACACTGGGTAGCGTTAGCCAACAAGCACCACTCCCTGCGTTAGCCAACAAGCACCACTCCCTGCGTTAGCCAACAAGCACCACTCCCTGCGTTAGCCAACAAGCACCACTCCCTGCGTTAGCCAACAAGCACCACTCCCTGCGTTAGCCAACAAGCATCACTCCCTGCGTTAGCCAACAAGCACCACTCCCTGCGTTAGCCAACAACCACCACTCCCTGCGTTAGCCAACAAGCACCACTCCCTGCGTTAGCCAACAAGCACCACTCCCTGCGTTAGCCAGCAAGCACCACTCCCTGCGTTAGCCAACAAGCACCACTCCCTGCGTTAGCCAACAAGCACCACTCCCTGCGTTAGCCAACAAGCACCACTCCCTGCGTTAGCCAACAAGCACCACTCCCTGCGTTAGCCAACAAGCACCACTCCCTGCGTTAGCCAACAAGCACCACTCCCTGCGTTAGCCAACAAGCACCACTCCCTGCGTTAGCCAACAAGCACCACTCCCTGCGTTAGCCAACAAGCACCACCCCCTGCCATTCAACTGGAGCCATCAGGAGGCAAAACACGCTACTCAAACATACCTCCCGTTTGGCTGCTGTTCGCCAGCACCACCCCCTCCATCTCATCCTCCTCATCATCCTCATCTTCCTCGTCGTCTTCCTCATCCTCCTCCTCATCATCCTCCTCGCTATCATCAACAATTGCCCTCGACCAATCCCTGGCAAGAAAACACAGTTGGAAAAAGCCGGCAAAAAAAAAAAAAAAAAACGTAGAAGGGTTTGGGGTTTATTATATGAGAAGGGAAAGCAGCTCTACAGTCAACTCAGAAACTCAAAACAGGCATGGTGGGAAACAGGTGGAAAACAGATGGCATGCGGAAAGGGGTTGTGCAGGCAACAAAATAGACTGGCATGCCATTGTAAGACAAAAGAGTGATGTCGAAATAAACAACTAGTCAACGAGATCCAGCTTACAGCGGCAGGCCTGCCAGTTGTGCGTCCTCCTCGTCTCGTCCGTATCCACCTCAAGAAATGGTGAGTCTGTCTTTTGAGAATTCTAAAAAAACAGACCCTGACACCTCGTCCCGTCCGTATCCACCTCTTTTGAGGCGCCTCAAGAAATGGCTAGAAGAGGAAGACTTTGGTCTTTTTGTAATCTACACTTACAGCGGCAATCCTGCCAGGTGTGCGTCCTCCCCGCCTCACCCGTATCCACCTTTCAGTTGAGGGGCCTACAAAATGAATGAGTTCTGCTGCTATCTGTAATCTAAACTTACAGCGGCAGTCCTGCAAGGTGTGCGTCCTCCTCGTCAGTATCCACCTCCTCTCCCTCCTCCCCCTCCTCCTCGCTCTCCTCGCCCTCTTCCCCATGCTCCTCCTCCCCTCCCAACACCCCCTCAGCCATGTAATACCCCGACAAATGCACCGAGCAATTTTCTCCTGCTGCCCCTGCTCCGTCCCCAGGCACCACCAGGCTGATCTCGAACGGCTCGTCCATCATCAGATCCAACGGACAGCATTCCATGGGGCCGCCCGCGGTCAGCGAGCAGATCATGATCGGACGGCTAGCATCAGCCGCAGCACCAGGAGCAGCGGAACCAGCACCGTGACTATGGCTCTTGCCCTTCTTGCTGGTCATGGTGGGGTCGCAGCAACCAGTGACGGCACAGCCAGTCTTGCTACCAGGGCTCCCCTTTCCGCCTGCAGGGCTCCCCTTACCCCCCGGACTCGCCTTCCCCCCCGGGCTTCCCTTGCTCTTCGGTGTCCCCTCTGCTTCCCCTGCTTTCCCGGACGCTACATGGTCGTCCAATTCCTCCCCTTCCTCCCCCTCCTCCTCGTGCGTTGCTAGCACTCTGACTTGCACCAGCACGCGTTTGTCGAGGGGACAGTCAGCCCCGAGAACAGCCTGAGGGGTTAAGTGGGGAGGGGGTGGGGGGAGGGGGAGGAGAGGAGGGGGGGGGGGGGGGGGGGGGGGGTGGAGGGGAAGAAAGGGGGAGGGGTGACAGGTTGAGAAGTTGGGGGTGCTGAGCAGGTGGGAGTGCCTTCAGACGCACCTGCACGCGGTTATTGAGGAGAATTCAAGCCCGTGGGTAGCCGGGGGTTTAAGAACAGGTCAGGGTTTATATTGGTTGACGTCGGGGTTTAGGTTGGGTCAGGGCTTAAGTAAGTTCGGGGTTTGGTCGGGGTTGACGTCTCGGTGAGGTAAGTGGATTACAGTGGGGGTAACAATTTCCAGTGGAAAATGAGAAGGGACAGAAAGAGAAAGAACAGCCTGGGAGTGTGCTTGCAATTCAGGTGCCAACAGACTAGGGGCACTCTCATTGGTTCGCTTCGGTATACACTTGAAAAGCTGAGGTTCAAAGTCCTTAGGAACTTGAAACCTTGGGGCAAAAACGTGATGCACATTGTAAAACCCCGAACCCCACTGACAAATGTATACTGGAGCTTTAAAGAATGTTGCAGTATTGCAAGTTGGGGATTCTAAAGAACTAGTTTAATTGTGAAGCGGGTACGCAACTGTTCCGGCAGAGCAACGAAGGGTTCAGGGTTTCACACGTGGAAAACCCTGAAAGGGGTTTAAGATTTAAGAGCTTCAAGTTTCTACCAGGAAAAGGCCGCATCCCTACAGGAAAAGGGCTTTACCAATAAAAGTATCTGCATAAAAATGATTTCGCCTGGTTTGGTGTCCACCTGGGGGAGGGTTTACCTGGGAGATGTGAAGCGGCCCTCCGGTGCCATCTTCAGGGTCGCACACGATTGGCTCGCCCTGCTTCACCTCCACGCCTGGCGCCACGTGATTGTAACGAGAGCGAGCGAGGGAGAGGGTGGATGAAGAGGATGGGGGAGGGGAGGAAGAGGGGTGTGGGGAGGGAGGAGAGGAAAGAGTGGGGGGAAGACTGAGGATCAACAAAGGATGTTATTCGGGGAAACATTTTAGTTGATGCGGATCAACCGAGGTCCCAGAGCCCCCAGGGCTGTCGGATTATAGCCCTCCTCAATAATCCAGCCGGCAATCCCGGTGCTCCTCTTCCCGCGGATCGCCCGCCGATCGCAAGAGGTGCTACACGATTGGGTAATCGGGTTTGTAAAGAACCAAAATGGCTTTTACGACGATCGCGGGTTCTTTATTTCTTGACGGATCGGTGATCACCAGAGGCACGCGGGGACGAGGCGGCGGATGACGGGGCGGAAGCGGAAAAGGGGACCAATTCGGAGCGCTTTGAATCTATTCAAGACACGAGGAAAGGGAAGAACGGGCGAGGACACGGGCACGGCACTAAACATGGCGGCAAACACGCATTGGGACCAATTGGGACGAGGCTGATCGGAGCCGCTTATTTGAGCCGCAAGGCCGAGTGGCGTGATCGGCGCCAATGAGATCCACGTACCCCAGAAGAGCATCGTGCGGCGCTGTGATCTGCGCTGCTGTGCTGAACGGTTCCGCGCGGTGCTGTGCTCTGCTCCAATCTGCTTTGCAGCCTCCGAGGGAAAGAGAAGAGAGTGAGACGTCTAGAATGAAACTGTCGTGCGGGCGGATAGAGTAAAGAGTCTAAAATGTAGCCTAGTGGGGGAGCCAAGCAAGGCAGGAAAGGCTATGTATGCTTCTCGAGGTTTCGGGCTTAGCTGTGGCGGGTGCTTTGACGAATGGCTGGCGAAGAACGTGCGATGGCGGCCGAAGTGTGCGGGCTTCGCGAATCTTCTAGGTGTGTGAGCTGATGGCATGATTGTTGCTGGAGATCTCTCGTTATAGGCAGAGATGTTCTAAATTGGTAGTCCCTGTTTATCTTATCGGATAATTAAACACAAATGCATGACTATCAGAGACAGGAACATGAGGTGTATAAGCGCTACCCTTGGTGAAACATACCGGGTTTTACGTGATTATTTTGTTATTATGGTTTAATTGAGATACTACTGAAGGTGATGCGTGTCATTACAATGTCACTACAGATACCAGCATGATAACAATTACTAAATTCTCAAAGTACCATACATTGCACATAATATTTCGTCTGAAAGTTGCTTGTATCGACGGTTCACAGCTGCACCAGATTGGCCACATTTTTTCGCAACAGAACGAACTCGCTTGGAATTCCATTTCCGCCATTCTGACTCACGAATTCCGGTATTCGCTCTCAGCATAACGGCACTTCCCTTGCTCCCTATTCTCTAGCTTCCTGGCCATGGCGTCTCCGCCGATCCTGGACTGGCAGTTAGACGAGGACAGATTTGTGGCGCTTTTGGAAAAGTTGATCAACGAGGCGCGATACCTTCAGGTGAGGATAGCTTCGCGACTCGTCTGCCTCTCCTAATGATCTTTGATATCGTGCCAGCTGGTAGCTAGGGAAAGGCTCACTGGCGTAGCTATCCCCGTTTTTATTTTGGTAGGTTGATTTTTTTTTTTTTTTTTGGTAATCATCTGCGATGTACGTATCATGTCGTATTTTTTAGAATGCGTGCTTACAACGACCAAAATCGTCCTTTCTTGACCATTCTGAAAGGCGCCATCCTCTCCTCGTGTTTTGCCAGTTGAAGGACCGACAGCTGTTACGGCTCAACCCGGTCCCTCTTTTACCTCGAATCTTAAGCTTGGTTTCCATCGTTTTCCGTTGCGTGACTGTATCGAATGCCCCGCTGGCTGGCAGAACAACCCTCCTGAGTGCGTGCCCAAGGAGGACCGCGCAGTACGCCACGTTCTAGACGTGCTGCAGCCCTACAGGTATCTATTTCTTGAATATATATATATATATATATATATATATATATATATATATATATATATATTATCAGTACCTCTCTTACATCAACCTACAGCCCTACAGGACCGTGCAGAGTGCAGTGTGACATGTTCTGGACGTGTTTTTTGAGAAGTCTGATACTGATTTTCAGGTACGGCGACTGTGCGTGCAGCTTGCAGTGCGACATGCTCTGATCTGAACGTGCTTCAGCCCTGCAGGTGCCTCTATCGATGCTCCTGTCACAAACCCACAGTCATTCTCGTAATAATCTTCTCCACAGTCACTCTGGTTTTTTTTTTTTTTTTTTTTTTTTTTTTTTCTCCACGGTTTCCAGAAGCCACTCGTCAAAATCCACCCTCATACTTACCCACCTTCATTCGTTCCCTCGTGCTGAGTGCAGTGAGGAAGAGGGCGGGCTGCTGCACATACAGCATGTGAGCTGCGTGGTGGGGCGGGGCAACCTCATCATCGCGTACAAAGGCCCTCATCCCTCTAACGTCCTCTCCTCCGTCCCTCCACCCCCTTAGTGAGGAAGAGGGCGGGCTGCTGCACATCCAGCGTATGAGCTATGTGTAAGGGCGGGGCAACCTGATATGATCGTTACATAAAAGAAGTCGCACGTTCACCCCCTCTGTCTGTCCCCCCCTTGGTCTCTTCCCCCCATGCTGGGTGCAGTGAGGAGGAGGGAGGCCCGCTGTACATACAGCACGTGAGCTACGTGGAGGGGCGGGGGAACCTGGTCATCACGTACAAGGGCTTGCACCCCTCCAGCGTGCTCTCCTTTGTCGGCTGTCACATGGACGTCGTCACTGCCAACCCCGACGACTGGGTGGGTTGTTGTAATTTGCTTGTGTTGTATGATTGCACTTGACTAGCTTTCCTGGGGGTTTTGAGGCAGGTACCACCATCCCCCTCTAACCTCCTCTCGTTCGTCGGCTGTCACATGGACATCGTCACTGCCAACCCTGATGACTGGGTGGGTCTTAGTGTGTTGAGGGTGTGGTTGTGTTTTCTAGTGTACATATGGGTTATGTATCTCGAGTGATGTGAGGTCAGGCGCCACCATCCCCTCTAACCTCCTCTCCTTCGTCGGCTGTCACATGGACGTCGTCACTGCCAACCCTGATGACTGGGTGAGCATCAGCATCTTGTAAGTGTGACTGGGTGGGTTGGGTAACGTTCAAGGGTTCTCGCACGGGCTTGCTGGGGCAGCCTGATCATCACGTACAAGGGCTCGCACCCCTCCAAGCTTCTCTCCTTCATGGGCTGTATGTCACATGGACGTCGTCGCCGCCAACCCTGACGACTGGGTGAGCTGTTTGGGTATTTGCTGCTGGGGTTCGCACCTGGCCTGGTTGGGGCAATCTCATCATCACGTACAAGGGCTCGCACCCCTCCAACGTGCTCTCCTTCGTGGGCTGTATGTCACATGGACGTCGTCACCGCCAACTCCAATGACTGGGTGGGTTGTAACCCGAGAATGGCGGCCGCAGGTGCCTATCCTTGCTACCCCGAGTGTTCTCAGGTGGGCACTAGTTTTTCCGGGGTTGGTTTGAGGTACCATCCCGGTCTGCCTGCCTAGCTAGCTAGCTATAGTGCCCTGACCCTCATCCCCCATTGCCTTCCGCTCCTTGTGCTTCTCCTTCCTCAGAACTTCGGCCCCTTAACCTTTTCTCGGGACGGGGACAAGCTGAGGGGCAGAGGCATCGCGGACTGCCTGGGTGGCGTCAGCGAGGGTGCCCTCTCCCTCCTCCTCCCTCACATTCCCTTCCTTTTCCCACTCCCCTTTCTGCAGCACTTCGACGGTCGACCCCTTCACTTTCTCTCGGGACGGGGACAAGCTGAGGGGCAGAGGCACCACGGACTGCCTGGGCCACGCGGCACTCGTCACGGAGCTCATGCGCTGCCCCCTCCCTCTCACATTCTCTCTTCCCCCCACCCCACGTCCCTCGCCTCTGCTTCACCAGGACTTCGACCCCTTTCACCTTTTGAGACAAATTGAGAGTCAGGGGCGCAACGGACGGACCGCCTGGGCCACGTGGCACTCGTCACGTCGCGGAGCTCATTCACCCACATTCTCTCGTCCAGACGGACTGCCAGCCAGCTAACAGCTCTTTCCCCCCTCTCACATTCTCTCATCTCGTCCGCCCTCTTCCCTCGCCTCTCCTTTACCAGGACTTTGACCCCTTCACATTCTCCCGAGATGGGGACAAGCTGAGAGGCCGCGGCACCACGGACTGCCTGGGCCACGTGGCGCTCGTCACGGAGCTCATGCGCCAGCTGGCAGTCTGCCGCCCGGAGCTGGGCGCGACAGTGGTGGCGGTGCTGATAGCCAATGAGGAGAACGCAACAGTGAAGGATATTGGAGTGGATGGGCTGGTGAAGGCAGGCCTGCTGGACCACCTCAGGAACGGACCCCTGTGAGTTCCTGTTTCCCTCCTCCCATCACCTCTCACAATGAGGAGAATGCGACGGTGAAGGATATTAGGGTGGGGTGGATGGGCTGGTCAAGGCGGGCCTGCTGGACCACCTCAAGAACGGACCTCTGTAAGTTCCCTTCACCTCGTCTCTCAAACCTCGCCTCAAACCTCGCCCCAAACCTCGCCCCAAACCTCGCCCCAAACCTCGCCCCAAACCTCGCCCCAAACCTCGCCCCAAACCTCGCCCCAAACCTCGCCCCAAACCTCGCCCCAAAACTTGCCCCAAAACTTGCCTCAAGACACCTCTTAAGACTCAGAGACCTCGTGCAACCTCTCCGCACCGTTCTCTCTCATTCCGTCCTCTCTCTGCTTCCCATGTCCCCCACATGCCACGTGGCAGCTTCTGGTTGGACACGGCGGACAAGCGAGCTCTCCCCAAAACTCATCTCAAGAATCGTCCCAGGACTCAGACCTTCTGTCCATCCTCTTCTCACCATCCTTTCTCTGCCTCTATGTCCCCTCCATGCCACGTGGCAGCTTCTGGGTGGACACGGCAGACAAGCAGCCGTGCATAGGCACGGGGGGCATGCTGGCATGGAAGCTCAAGGCGTTTGGGAAGCTCTTCCACTCGGGGCTGCCACACAAGGTGAAGTGGTTTGTGCTTGGCTCACATAGAAGTGAATCACGTGCCCAGCCCAGCCCACAACGTGCTCTCTTTAGTGCCATGAGCAGAGCTCAAGGCGTTTGGGAAGCTCTTCCACTCGGGCCTGCCACACAAGGTGCTCTCTCATCGGCTTTGATGGGGTCTGCATCGCAAGGTGCAGTCATAACTGTCACTAAGTGCCACAAGCTGGCTATGACAGCACTGGCGGAGATGCAGACCCGCTCTTACCACCTTCTCCTGTGTCGTCTCCATTTCTCTCACTCCAGCTCCAAACCTCTGCACTCCAACCTCACCCCTGTGAACCCCTTTACACCCCCCTCTCTCTTCCAGGCAGTGAACCCCATAGAGCTCGCCATGACAGCACTGGCGGAGATTCAGACCCGCTTCTACCACCAGCCCCCCTCACCCCAACTGCACCCCTCTGCACTCCTTTGCACCTTTTCCCTTCCAGGCGGTGAACCCTATCGAGCTGGCCATGACAGCACTGGCGGAGATACAGGCCCGCTTCTACCAGGACTTCCCTCCGCATGCCATGGAGAAGACGTATGGGTTTGCTACACTGTCCTTACTCCAACTCCACCCCTTCGCACTCCTTACCACCCCACAACACTCCCTTCCAGGCCATCAACCCCATCGAGCAGGCCATGACAGCAATAGCAGAGATCCACATCCGATTTTACCGGGACTTCCCTCCACATGTGTTGGAGAAGACATATGGTTTTGCCGCACCCTCCACACACCAACTCCACCCCTTTGCACTCCTTTCCACCGCTCTGCACTCCTGTGCAGGCGGTGAACCCTATCGAGCTCGGCATGACAGCCTTGGCGGAGATTCAGACCCGCTTCTATCGGGACTTTCCTCCTCACGAGATGGAGAAGACGTATGGGTTTGCCACACCATCGACCATGAAGCCCACTCAGTGGTCGTGTGAGTGAGGTTGGCTGATGCACACGTATGGTGATGTGAGCGTGCATACATGTATCCATGACTTCCCCCCTATGCCATGGAGAAGACGTATGGGTTCGCCACACCATTGACCATGAAGCCCACTCAGTGGTTGTGTGAGTGAATGGTGTTGAATAAAGTTGAGTGGTATTGAGTGGTGTTGAGTGGTGAGTGAGCAGAGAAACTCCCCTGGATATCCCATACATATTGACTGGAGCTCCCATCATCTTGCCCACCTGGTCCAGTTCCCTCGTTTTACGCAAGGAGGTTTTTCGGATGTTACAGGTTTTTCAGATCTGCGTTTTCCACACTCGTTTTTTTCACTGTTCCGTTGCTCAAGCTCCCATCATCTAGCCCACCTGGTCCAGGTCCCTCGTTTATCCCTGCACACTGCCTTCTCCTCTCCTCCTCCTCCCCTTTGCACATCTGCTTCCTGGCCGTACCTACCTGAATTTTAGATAGTAAACCCAAACCCCTCAATAACATTTGTCAGCTGTCCCAAGTGGTCTGATCCCCGCGTCTCCCTTGCAACATTTGCTTCTTGAACTTATCTTCCCAAATTTCAGATCGCAAACTCAAACTCCTCAACCCTCACTTTGAATTGTTCCTAGTGTTTCTTTCCCAAGTTCCCCTTCCGAAATGTGCTTCCTGGGCCTACTTGGTTCGACCCAACACCCGAAACCCCTGAACCCAATACTTCCTTTTGTCCATGTCTGTGGCTGCACCAGATCCGGGCGGCAGTGTGAATCAGATCCCTGGGGAGTGCACACTTGCAGGGGACTGCAGGTAGTGTCGCTGGGTGGGCCTCTCCTCCCTCTCACCCTACATGATGCAGCAATTCCCGTCCTTCAAATTCTATGCTCTTTTCCTCTTTACTCCCTTCTCTTGACCCCCCCCATCCCATCCGCATCACGCTGTCCTTCTTTCCGCCCGTACTTTTTGTGCCTTTTCCCACCTCGCATGGGCTTTCGTGCGGTCGATGCTTGCGTGTGCCTACATTGTACTTGCCTCTTCCCCCGACGGCATACGACATCAGAATAACGCCATTCTATGAGTGAGTGATTCCTGAGTGTGTATTTTCCATTCTGAGTATTCTCTATGCCAGTGTGCAAGATGCGTGCGTGCGTGCGATTCTTGTACAGTTGGAGGCGCTTTTGAGAATTATCGAGTTGACTGGAAAAAAAAAAAAAATGTGTGTTCTTTTTTTCTTTTTCTTTTTTAACCCCCTACAACATGAAGATCCATGCATGCATGTCTTAAGAGCAATCGTTCCCTGAGTGCAAGTACTAGCATGCACTGGCATGCGTGCTTACGCATGATTATTTGAGAACTAGCATGCCGCTAAATGTTTATGGCAACCCTGTTGTGCCTCCTGTTTGTGTGAACTCATGATGAGAATCCAAGTGAATCCCCATGCTCAGCCACTGCCCTCTCTCTCCCATCCCTCTGCAGTGTTGACGAGGCGGCAGCGACGCGGAGTCAACACATGGCAGGCATAGGCACCAAATTGTACCCCATGCGCTCATGTGCTACTTGGGCCCACCAACTCACACCGCACTTCACCTCTCCGCATGCCCTCCCACCCCCCACCACCGCAGTGTGGACGAGGTGGTAGCGAAGCTGAGGGAGTATGTGGCAGACATAAATGCCAACCTGTCCACGCTCTCGTGTTCTATGGGCCACCAACTCACACCACACTTCACCCCTCTCTATGCTCCCCTACCACCTCTGTACCACTCTCCATCGCTGCAGTGTGGACGAGGTAGCAGCGAAGCTGAGGGAGTACGTGGCAGACATAAACGCCAACCTGTCCACGCTCTCAGGCCCCGGCCCGTGCTCGAAATTTGTTCTGCCCGAAGAAAATCTGCAGGGCAGGTGAGAACGGGCCCGTGGATATGTCTAATGCGGGAGAAGAGAAGAGAGGGAGGAGTGGGAGGAAAGGAGGAAGCTGAATGTTTGGAGCAGAGAGTGTTCCGGGGGAAGGAAGCCAGTGGGCGGAGGGAACGTATGAGAGGGCGATTGAACCTCCAATGTACACGTGCCTCTCTTTTCGCCCTCTTTTCTTCGCACTCAATTTCCTTCCCTCCCTCTTCCATGAGCCAACCCCTTTCCCTAACCTCCCCTTCAGACTCGAGCTAGAGATAGCAGAGGCGCCGATGAAGGGCGTGGCGTGTAACCTGGACTCGCCTGGTTACCACGCGCTGGTAACCGCCACGAAGGATGTGATGGGCGAGTGCAAGCCGTACTCCATCACGGGATCCCTGCCGTTGATTCGCGATCTGCAGGAGGCAGGATTCGATGTGCAGACCATGGGATATGGTGAGATTGTCTTTTGATATTGATTTTGATTTCTATAATTCTGGTGCTTGGTGATACCACATCTGCTTGTTTCGGAGCATCTGAAATGGTGAGGGATTGGGGTATGGTGAGGATAGAGGGTGGGTTTTATCAATGCTTTTTCGATGTGATGGTGATAGCATGGGATGTGGTCGGACCATGTGGCTCTGCTTTTCTCTTAAATCACTATTGGTAGCCTATGCTGGTCACCTCTTTTTTTATTTCTTTTGTAGGAGCCATGTAGTGCGGCCTTCTTGGACCCACATTCTTTCGTATATGCTCCAATTCTGTGGCAGGTGTCATGGCCACTTATCATGCGCGAAACGAGTATGCGCTGCTATCCGACTTCAAGCTCGGCTATCGCGTCCTTACCAACCTTATACACCGCCTCTCGTAACCCAGCTAGGTGGACACAACAGGGTGTACAGGCTTTCTTATGTTTTTCCTCCTGTTTACTAGATTCGCATGGAGGGCTGTTGTGGCGCAAGGAAGAAATTATATCACGAATGTATTGTCTACGAATAAATAGGTGATAGGGAACCTTACAGCATAACAGCATTTTAACTGTTATCGGCAACTGTTATTCTGTATGTACTGTAACGATATTAGCTCCTACAACAAAGTTGCACCCATGTTCGTTAAATGGGATACGCTCAACGGACTACAGCAATGCAAATGGTGCCGCCTAGTCCCAACAACCATGGACTTTCTTGCAACCACAAATTGTCGTGAGGCGAAACTTGTGCGGCCCCGACTAGACACGTTACCATGTTCTGGCGAGTATTTGCGAAACGCGTAAGCGAACACGGAGAAAATCTAGGAGCATCCCAACATCCAAGCACAAAGAGGATTCCCATACCAACAGGTCCCTAGGGTCAAGGACAGCATCTAGGTCGAATGATAGTTGCTGGATAGCATACCATATTCCTAGGGCTGAGGTAATGCCGACAGGACGTTATGCGCTTACTTGACGTTTCTTGAAATGCAGCTATAGGAACAGCCTTTTGAACAAATAATGGAGCTCCAGACGAGTAGGTTAGGCAGGAGTAAATGCATACGCGTTCTGGTATTTATGAAAGGTTAATTTATTTCGTTAGCCAGAGGGTCGAGTGGCAGAAATGGCTGAGCCCGAGGAGTATTTAATTTATTACGCCGCTATAGTATACCGCGGTACAATTCTCTATGCGCACAGCAGCTTTCCCGGGGACTGCACCTCCATTATTGTCGAAGCTATGCGACAATTGCCTGATAACGTTTCCAGCTATTCCCGGGTAGGCCTCTCTTGAACACGCCTTTCTCATGTAGGCTATCAAGAGACATTGAAGATGTTTTTTTCACGCTTTAAAGTCACCTTACGAGCGTACCGCCCCGTCAACCTCTTGACGAGTGCTTTTTTTTTTTTTTTGCCTTAACCCTAACTCAGCCACGACTCTCCGTCGCTTATTCACCACTCAACTTGAGCTGGCCTATCGGAAAACCCTTACAATGAGCCAAGTTCTACACTCATAGCTCCAGCAAGAGAGAGTGCTGTACAGAGGAGCAAGTCTTGCAAGCTACTACCCTAGCCTTAGAACTTTTTTCCGAAACTTTTAAGAACACCCAAGCTATTTCTTGCAAGCTACTACCCTAGTCTTACCTAACCTAGCCTTTAAATTTCTTTCCGATTCGCGTTCCTTGTTCAAGACACAGCCACCTGGAAGCTTTTTCAGTTGACGTAGAGTCATCCCTCTCAATCCTTGCCGTGTTGTTGTGTGCTGCGCAGTGCAGTGCTGCGACGGAACCGTGCTCGCATTCCTTGTGCGAGACACAGCCATCTACAATCTTTTTTTTTTTCAATTGACTCCAGACTTTCCTCTCACTCTTTGCCGTGCTGTGCTGTGCTGTGCTGTGCAGTGCTACGATGGAACCATGCTCGCATTCCTTGTGCGAGACAAAGTCGTATATACGCTTGGCGGCCATGAAGCACTGGACAAAGTCCGCGCTTACAAGTTTCTGGAGCAGGTATGCCTGGACAAAGTCGCGCTAAGTTCCTGGAGCACAGATATGCAATGCAGAATATGGAGCAGGCACGCACAATGTGGACAAAATCCGGGCTTATGAGTTTCTGGAGCAAGTACGCATTACAATGAGTTACAATGTGTTACGCAGCTTCCTTATCGCCAGAGCACTACCTAATCTGCTAATCTGTGCTGAGGCAGCCCTGCTAGAGATTTTATGATACGCAACGACACGAACTGAACCACCCCTTCGTGTGCTACACTTCTCCTGTGCAGTATAAACAGCGCGTTCTCTCTGTCTCCCCTTTTCTACTCTGCTTCTCAACATAATTCCAGCTTCATTCCATCCACATGCTGGCAGCAACCGAGGGCAAAAGTAACTGCATCAGTTCTGAATCTTGTAAACATTTCCTCCTTTCTACTTCCCCCGTCTCATCTTCATTCATCCCAGCTCCGTTCCATTCATGTGCTAGCAGCAACCAAGAACGGAAAATTCCGCACCGACCTGCTCACCTCCCCGTACAATCACGCCCTTCATAAGCTCAGCTCGCATATAGGCGCTCTCATAGCTAGTGTGCGCGGAACGATACCCCCACGTGAGGCCCTGATTGTCTACCCGGACGCGCCTAAAGCCTACCTGACCTGCCGTTCCAGAGACGAGCTTCTGGCCAAGTCCCCCTTGCACCCACGAGCCACTGCTACAGCCCCTGCTATAGCCGCTGCCACAGCGACCGCTTCCGTTTCTGCCGCTGTTGCTGTTGCTGCCGCTGCAACGGCTCCCTCTGTTACCTCTGCAACGGCTGAATCGAGCCTGTTTACAGCGATTGATTCTTTGGATTTACCAGAAGGCGGGAAAGTGAGTGGAGGGAGGTCGAGGCTTCAGCTGAGGATGGGGGGTGTAAATAGGGATGAAGGGGATGGTTGCCTGGGGGAAGAAGAGAGGGGCATGGAACAGCTGGGTTTAGAGAGGGGTATGGGGCTAGGTTTAGAGAGTGAAGATAGCGCTGTGAAGGTGGAGGTAGCTGATAGCAGCAGCGGTTGCGAGGAAGATGAGGAGGAAGGAGAGGAGGAGGATTTTGTGTGGAATCCACAGCAACAGATTCATAAGCAGCAGGAGAAGCAGCAGCAACAGCAGCAACGCAGGCCTTACTTGGACCGCTCGTCATTGCAGGAACAGCAGCAGGAGCAGGAGAAGAACCCTCTAAGCGACGCTGGAGACTCGCCCATGATCAGCCCACGGCCTGAATGGGCGCGCCAGTTGGCCTTGCTGCGAAGCTACACCAGCGAAGCAACAGATACAGACAGCACAACTCAGAACCAAGGGAAGGGGATGGTCACACGCACAGGAAACAAAGCGAAGCAAACTATAAAGGAGAAGGGGATGCGGACAAAAGGGACGGGAAGGCAAGGACAGGCACAGAAGGTCGATGGGGAGGGGCCGAAGGGAGGGAGAAGGGACCGAAGCCGCAATGGGACCGTTGTGGGTTCGGGTTTGGATTTCAGGCGGACGGGAGGAAAGGGAAGGTCTGTTAGTAGTGGGGGGTCTGGATGGGCGGGGTCCGGTTTTGATGAGGATTTGTCGGGCGAAGGAATGCCGGGTAGGTCTGGTTCGTTCCCGAACCTGTCTCCTGCTCGTGTGATTGCTGCAGCCGGAGTAGCGGGAGGAACAAGGGCAGCAAGAGCAACGGGGGCAGCAGGGGCAGTAGGTACAGCAGGGGCAGCAGGAGGAAGAGGCAAGGCTCCCGTGGTTGCGTATGGGCATTGTAGGTCCTTGTCGTTTGGAGGGAGCAGCAACACGCGCCTGCAGGCTGATGATTGCAGCGGTGACGAGGATGACTATACAGAGGACAGTTTTGGTGAGGAGCAGGTGGGCAGGAAGCGTTGCAATGATATCGAGGTTTACCATACAAGAGTTTCTGCTGGTGCTGGTGCTGGTGCTGGTGCTGGTGGTGATGGTGCTGGTGGTTGTTCTGGTCATGGTGGAAAGGGGAACGAGGAGAAGAAGAAGGCGTCTGGTTCAAAAAAGGGGGGAAGCAGAGAGGGCAGCGATCCTCGGAGAAGGCAAGAGGCCGAGTCTGGCTTTTCTGGTGGGCGTGTAGTAGGAGCGTCCTTGTCTCTGCCTCACGAAGAAGCACGCTTCTCGCACTCACCTGCACCTGACGCTCATTTCCCAAGGCAGCAGCACACAGCGCGTGTGGCAGCATCCTTTTCCCTTCCTCGCATCGACACCCATTTCTCACAGTCAGATGCCGACTCAGCACCAGAAGCAGCAGTTGCAGAAGCAGGACCGGCAACAGAAGAAACAGAAACAGAAGCAGAGGCAGGGTCAGAGGCAGCGGTAGAGATAGAAGCGGCAGGAGTAGAGACTGATTCCGGTTCAGATTCTTACTCAGGTGCAGCGTGGAAAGCACAGAAGGTGGGACACCAGGCGGGGCGCGTTAAACGAGCAACCACTGGGTCAGGACAGCAGAAGCTGCCCTTAGGCCGCGTTATGCACACCACAAGCGGCACTAAGGTTGCTACTAGGAGCCTTACGGATTCTAGGAACGGCTCTGGGACTGGTGCTAGGAATGGGGCTGCTACTAGGAGTGGTAGTGCTGGGAACAACACCAAATCTGGTGGTAGAAGTGGCAGGGAATCTGATGATAGGAGTGGCATTACTGGGGCTCTTGCTGGGGCTAGTAGTAGCAGTGCATTGGCACGAGGGCACATAGGTAAGTCGTTTTCTCAAGACTACACGATGCAGGTATTTCCGAGGGAGGAGGTTTCAAGTAGGCAGAGACAGAGGGCTTCTGGCGGTTCAAGGGGTGGGAGTGGAGGTGTGGGGCACTCATCGCTTGGTGAAGAGTGGGGTTCTGGTAACTCTGGTAATTCGCCCTCCGGCCAAACATGGGACTCAGAGGTTGCGAGCAGGCTAGCAGCTGTAGGCGCTCGTGTGCTAGCAGGGAGTGGCGGAGGAGTAGGGGGAGGAGGAGCTGGAGTTGGGACGGGGATAGTAGGGGCAAGGTTAGCAGGGAGAGAAGCAGGGACAGATGCAGGCTTCTCGAGAGGCGGTTCGGGGGACGATTTGTTTGATGATATCTCAGAAGGTGACGAGGATGACTCCGATGCGTTTGAGTGGCGCCCGTCTCGCCGCCGCACTCGCATTCTGGGCGGTGTTGCCCGGTCCACGTCAGCAGTCACCTCTCCCACGTCAGCGATGGGTTGGACAGGTTGGCGCGACCTGAGTCAGCAGCACAAGTGGCAGCAGCAGCAGCAGCAGCAGCAGCAGCAGCAGCAGCAGCAGCATCAAACAGCGCAGGCTCACTCGCATAAGCCTCGCCATAAGCACTCCAGGGAGGAAAGGTCCAGGGAAAGGCCGCACTCAGCAGGGGCACGCAGAGAGAGCTATGGGACGAGAGGATCGGTGGAACCAGCAGGAACAGCAGGAGGATCCGCGAGCACAAGACCTAGCTCAGCTTCTTGTATTGACAGGGAGAGGGGGAAGGGGGGCAGGAGGAGAGAGGAGAGAAGCGGGGCCGTTTCTGCTGCCTCTGCTGCTTCTGCTGCTACCGTAATGGCTAGTAGAAGCGCTGTTCCTGTGTCCGTGTCGCTGGGTGTGACAGGCACGTCGTTTTCTCCGGGGGGTGGTTTGAATTCGACTTTGGGGGGTGACGGTACCTTGGGTGGCGTGTTTCCCCGTCACAGTAGTGTGGGTTCTGGTGGCAGGCGTGATAGTGGTGACGGTAGAAGCAGGCACGGTGGCAGTGGTGAGGGTGGGAGGTATGGTGGCAGTGGTGACGGTGAGAGGCATGGTAGTGGCGATGGTGGGAGCAAAGAGGCAAGAGGGGACAGGCGTAGGGGCATTGGAACGGGAGCAGGAGCAGGAGGAGGGGGAGGAGGAGGAGTAGCAGGAGGAGGAGGAGGAGGGGGACGTGGGGTGGAATGTGAAGACGAAGGGGCTTGGGAATGGGGAAGGGCTAGATATGAAAGGGGAGGAGGAGGAAGAGGGCAAGAGGTGGATGAATTTGAGAGGTTAGTTTCCCCTTCTCCTCCCTCAGCTAGAAGACCAATTGCAAGGCGCACGAGAACAGGGGTGTCACACAGTGCAGAGTTCATTTCCCTCCGACACGTTAGGGGGCTGCTGCATACAGGCAGCAGTGGGGGCGGCAACAATGAGTCAACGTTTGAGTTGGTTCAAAAATCCCCTAGAGAAGTGAGAAAGCTGCTGCATACTGGCAGCGGTGGGGACGGCAGCCGAGACGAGCCTTGTTTGGATCCCTCTAGCTTTGGTCAACGGAGCAGCAGAAGCAGCAGTGGCAGCAGAAGCAGCAGCAAGCAGGTCCCAGTAACACCTACTGGTAGTTCCCGAAAGTGGCATAGTCAAGGGAGGAGAAGAGGAGGAAGCGTCTCAATGGTGGATACAGAGGGAAATGCCTCTGGACTTGCTCATTTTGACTCTCGACACACCTCTCGACCGTTCCCCACCTCTCGAGGAGCAGCAGCAGCATCGCCAGCAGTTGCAGCTCTCTTCTCCTCTGCCCGACGCCCCCACCCGCCCTTCAGTCCTCGCACCGCCCCCACCTCCCCCTCCTCCCTCTCCCTCCTCGTCTCCCCCCGCAATTCCCGAGGCCGCAGCTTCGGGTTCGGCGGATCCACAAGCACGCGACAACCAGAGTGCGAGGAGCAGGCACTAGCAGCCAAAAAATCCCAGTTGGCCACGTTCAGTCGATGTGTGAGCACGGGAGATTGGGAGGGGGAGGCGATGGGGAAGATCACCGGGAGGAGTGAGAGTGAGAGCGAGAGTGGGGAAGAGGTGCAATGGGACAGGGGCAGGGGCGGGAGCGGTAGCGGGGGCGAGGGCACCAGTGGGGGCAGGGGCAGGCACGGAAGCAGAGAAAGAATGTATTCTCATGAGGCAAATCCACCTGGTGGTAGTTTTTTCAGAGCTGTAGACGAGTCCACCAGAGGCCGTGGCGATGGCACGGCTGATGGTTACACGGATACCACCGGTGGTTACGCAGACGGCACAGGCGGTTACCACCTCGCACGTGAACCCTCCCTCTTCTCCCCAGTAGCAGAGGACGAGGGTCAGGAGCCCCTCTCCTCCTCCACACTCTCCTCCTCCGCGTCTTCCTCTGCAGCCTCCCTCTTCCTCCGCTCCATGAGCTCTGGCAGAGCCGAGGATCTGCTGCTGCAGCAGTTTCACCGCCACCTCTCCCCTGAGGTTCGCCCCGGCACTGCTGGTGGCGCCTGGGGATGCAGAAACCACGCAGTTGACGATTCGGGCGGCGGAAATCGAAGTTCTGGCGATTGGGGTAGTGGTAACGGTGGGAGTGGAGTCACAGGGAAGGGAAAGGATGGGGTGGAGGGACGAGTGGGAGGTGGGCGCAGAGGGGATCTGGGGCGTGGAGGGGTTGGGGCGTTAGGGGGCGCAGAAGCAGCAGCAGGATTGCGAGCGGCGTTTGTGAGTGGGAGAGCGCGCAGCAGCAGCTTCAGTGGCGCTGCTGGTGGGTTTGCGGGCAGAGGGGGGGGCGGATGGGGTGGGGAAGACGACGAGGGAAGCACACCCGGGGGAGGGGCGTCTGGGGGAGGCACACCTGCGGGCGGAACACCTAGGGGAGGGGGATATGGCAGCGGGACGAGCAGCGGCGCAGAAAGCACTGGGTCGGTGATAGAAAGAGGCGGCGGTGGTACTAGTAGTGGAAGGAGGAGAAGCGGGGGTATGGGGAGTGGGGATGGGGGGGAGGGCAGTGGAGGACCTAGGCTGACAGAGGCTCAGAAGCAGCGGTGGCAGGAATATCAGCAGCTGCTGCCGCCGCTGACATTGCCGCCTGTGCTGGAACGGAGGCTGAAAATGCAGGAGGCGGTTCTGAAAAGGCAGGAGGCGCTGCTGCTGGAAGAGCTGCAGCAGCAGAAGGCACTGCAGGAGCAGAAGATGTTGCAGGAACAGAAGAGAGCTGAGGAGCAGCGGAAGCAGGTGGAGGAGGGAGCGCACCAGCAGCAGCAGCAGCAAACGGAGAGGCAGCAGCTTGCAGGAAAGCAGGAGGCAACTTTGGTTCCGCAACAGGAAGAGTTGGGCAGTGTCCCGTTGGAGAAGCGAGAAGAGTCACAGCAGGCAAAGGTACAGCAGCAGCTGCCAGAGCAGCAGAAGCAGCAGCAACAGCAACAGCTACAACAGCCGCCGCTACAGCCCCATCCACCCCAGAAACCAAGGCTGGAGCCGCAGCCCCCCCAGCAGCCCAGGAAGGATCGTGACCGTCCGTTTGTGCGTCAGCGGATCTGCCACTCGGACGAGTTCATCCGGCTGCCAGCTGGCATGACCGCCCGCGGGGGCGGCAGCCTCGTTGGGTTGTCCACGCGGGCGCACTGCCTGGCTGCTGCTGCCACGTCAGCAGAGTCTCCTGCGGGCGGCAGACTGAGCATGGGAGACGGAGAAGGAGGGGGATGGGGAGGAGGCGACGGGGTAGGAGGAGGAAGGGAGGGAGCAGGAGCAGGAGCAGGAGGAGGAGGAGGAGGGGACGAAGGAGGATGGGGCAGAGGAAGGGGAGGAGGGGGAAATGGAGGAGGGCGGCGAGTAGGAGCAGGGGGAGGAAGGGGCAGGGGACGAGGGGGGGGATGGTCTAGGGAGATCCCAATATCCCTGTCCGTATCAGGCATCCCCCCACCAGGACTAGATGCACAATCAGACACAATGACAGATGCTATGGCAGATGCTATGACCCCCACACAGTCTCCTGTCTGCACGCCCCCTCCGTATGCCCGCTCGCTCGTGTACGGTCGTTCCCCCCGCACGGCATTTGACCGCTACCGCATTCGCAGCCTGGGGGCCATTCCGCCAGGGGGGCTTGTGGCTGGCTCCATTGTGGTAGGTGGGACGGCGGGAGGAGGGGGCGCAGCAGGGTTCGGGGCGTCTGCTGCTGATGGTGCTGGTGCTGGTAGTGCTGGTGCTAGTGCTGGTGCTGCCTCTGCTGCCAATGCTGGTGCTGGTGCTGATGCTAGTGATGGGGATGGGGCTGCTGGAGGAACTAAGGAGGGTGCTGCAGGGGCGAGCAGTGGGGGCGAGCAGGGAGGCGGGGCGAGCAGGCTGCGGGGGTCAGTGGGCCTCACAGCGCCCTCAGGCCTCACCTGGGACGAGGAGATTTCCCGGAAGCTGGCTCTGCGGGGGGTGCAGGTGCGGCCGACCAGCAGCAGTGTTTCGGCAGCAAGCCCCTCGTCGTCTGCTCACCAGCAGCCGACGAGTCTCTCGACGCAAGAAGGTGCTGATTTCGCCGCTGCAGCAGGAGCAGCAGGGACAGCAGGAGCAGCAGGGACAGCAGATGCAACTGTAGCAACTGCAGCAGCAGGGGGTGCGTGTGACGGTGGTGAGCGTGCAAGTGCTCGCCTCTCTGTCTCTGACTGGGTGCGCTCCTCTTCCACCTCCTCCTTGACCCCTGCCAAGGTATCCACTGCCGAAGCCACGGCAGCAGCAGGAGCAGCAGAAGGGGCGGCTGGAGCGCCAGGTGAATTCTCAGGTGAAGTCTCAGTTGGAGATTCAGATGGCAGCAGCCTTTTCTTCGCTGTTCCCGCTGCCCCGGATTCCCTTACAGCTACAGTTGTAGGGGCAGGTGGGGCAGCAGGGAGAGGTGGGGACAGAAGCCCCTCTGCTGCCAATGCTAATGCTGCTCGTGCTGCTTCTACTGCTGCCTCTCCAGGTCCAAGGCTTGTGCTTGATTCAGCGGCAGGCTCTTCTAAATCCCCCACCAGGCACATCTCACCACCATCACCACCACCATCGCCACCACCAACTGGCACAGCAGCAGCAGCAGCAGCAGCAGCAGCAGGGGTATCACCTGGGAGGTCCCTCCACCACTCCCCAAGATCACCTACCCCAGTTATCACCTACCCCGATTTCACCGAGCTTTCTCTCGACCTATCCGAGACTATCCCCCTCACCCCCTCCCGCTCTGCCAAGGGGTTTTCGCTGCCCGCCTCCCCTGCTGCTGTCGCCTTTGCTGCTGCCGTGGCTGAGGTTGACGCGTCCGGATTCGCAGTACCGGAGCAGATGCTGAGGGCAGAGAAGGGTGGGAATGAGCTGGGGTCGGAGAAGGGAGGAGCAGGAGGATCGTTTGCGTCGTGGAACTCGGGGAGTGGTGCTAGCAGTGGGAGCATGAGCCGGGGCAAAGCAACAAAAAAGGTGAGCAGACAGAAGGGTGGGAATTAGCTGGGGTCGGAGAAGGGAGCAGGAGGTTCGTTTGCGTCGTGGAGTGGTGCTAGCAGTGGGGGGAGCATGAGCCGGGGCAAGGCAACGAAAAAGGTGGGTTTGTTTGTTTTGCGGTGCTATTATCTTTTCCATTATATGCAACTGCACTGTGTAGAGCGTAAATGATCTGCCCTGTGTTTTGTCATTAACTTTTGGTAAATGTGTGGCCTCCCCCAGTGTTTCATAGCTCAACCTAATGTACATGTGTTTGCCCTTATGTGTGGAATGTGTGTGTGCCTCTATGCATGTGCCTGTATACATGTGCCTCTAATGCAGGAGCTTCCAACATGCTGTGTTATCGGCTGAATTCCTGCTTCAGTGCTGGCTGTGTAGACGGATCAGTGTCTCGCTTCAAGGCTTGCGTTCAAGCGGTTTCATTCGGTAACTGCCTCATACTTGGCCGTGTTATTCAACTACTGTAGCTTTCCAGAACTTACCTGTCTAGGTGGCATCCATTGGCAGTTTCCAGTTATTGCAGTAGCCTTTGTCAATGTATATTCTTAGAACTGCCATGCAGTGCATCTTCACCTGTGCGATGTACACCATGTATCGCTCTGATACTGCATATCCTATTGCATCAGACAATTACAGTGGCATACTCTGCTTAGATGCCCTATTGTGGGTGCATGGGGTTGAAAAGAATCGTGTATTATGGCTCAAATACCGGGCTTAGGGTGCATTCCTGACTGGACATTGTCAGAACATTATAGCTTATATATTTGTGTAGGCTATAGTGGGGTATCCCATAGGGGGTACAACCCAATCAGGGTTTCCTATATGTACTCACTTCATTCATAGTTCATCCATTCTCGTTCTAGTTTCTTTCACATGGTTTCAGAGCGGTTACGCTCTCGGCATGTGGGTACTACTGCTTCCGCTGCTACATGCTCTGTCGCACGCCCCGTGGCGTGCGACGCATTTTCGGCGCGCGGCGATTTGCACTTTGGCGCGCGCCTCGGGGCGCGCGGCCTCTTTCTTTTCTGGCGCGCCGCCCGTCCCGGCCCTTAGCCGCCCGTCCCGGCCCTTAGACGCCCACGCGCCGCCCGTCCTGGCCCCTAGCCGCCCGCGCGCCGCCCGTCCCGACCGCGCGCCGCTGCTCCAGCCCGTCAACGCCCGTGAGCCGCCCGTCCCGGCCCCACGCCGCCCGTGCGCCGCCCGTCCCGGCCCCACGCCGCCCGTGCGCCGCCCGTTCCGGCAGCGCGCCGCCGTCCCGGCCCCACGCCGCACGTGCACCGCCCGTCCCGGCCCCGCGCCGTCGTCCCGGCCCCCACTCCGCCCGTGCGCCGCCCGTCCCGGCCCCACGCCGCCCGTGTGCCGCCCGTTCCGGCAGCGCGCCGCCGTCCCGGCCCCACGCCGCACGGGCACCGCCCGTCCCGGCCCCGCGCCGTCGTCCCGGCCCCCACTCCGCCCGTGCGCCGCCCGTCCCGGCCCCACGCCGCCCGTGCGCCGCCCGTTCCGGCAGCGCGCCGCCGTCCCGGCCCCACGCCGCCCGTGCACCGCCCGTCCCGGCCCCGCGCAGCTGCCCCGGCCCGTCGCCTGCTGCATTGCCGAGCCGCCCACACCACCGAGCCGCCGAGCAGCCCAGCAGCCGAGCCGTAGCCGAGGCGCTGAGCAGCCCAGCAGCCGAGCCTCCCGAGCCGCCCGAGCCGCCCGAGCCGCCCGAGCCGCCCGAGCCACCCGAGCTGCCGAGCCGCCGAGCCGCCTGAGTCGCCCGAGCAGCCGAGCCGCCCGGGTCGCCCGAGCCGCCGAGCCGCAGTTGCTGCAGTGCCGCCGTACCGCCGAGTCGCCGAGTCTTCGAGCCTGCTCTTCCCACCACTGGTGAGCCCCTGCCTTACTAGCGCGCTGCCTGCAGCTTGCTTGGCTTCCTGCCTTACTGCTGCTACTCCTGCTCCTGCTTCTACTGGCGGCGGCCAGATGCAGCTCCAGCGACGCCCACACGCGTCTCTCACGCCCCAGCAGCTTCGTGAGTGGTACGCTCAGAGTAGAGGGTCTCTCAGTTCTGTTCGCTGCTCTTACGTGATTCGCACTGGTGCTCAGACTGGTCAGCCTTGTGGAACGCCTAGTCATACACCGTCCCGCTGCTTCGCCCGTCTGAACGACGCCTGGCGTACCGAGTTTGGCGACGAGGCTGAGCTCCCCGACTGGGTGGAGTTGCTTAGGCAGAGGGTAGATATATTTGCTTTTGACTATGATGCTATTCTCACTGCCATGTATGCATTGCCTACTAGTGCTGACCGTGCCGGTCACTTGTGCGTACCGCCTGACCCGGGTATAGAGCCTGCTGCTCTAGCTGCTGGTGCGGCTGCTGCTTTGGGTGCTAGTGTGTCTCCTGCTCCAGGTACAGGTGCGGCTGCTGCTCTAGGTGCTAGTGAGTCTGCTTCCTCAGGTGCGGGTGAGTATGCTCTCTCAGGTACCGAGTCGGCTCCGGCCTCTCACACCTTCACCCTTGACTCGGGGGCTTCCCGCTCCTTCTTTCGAGACCGCACCACACTCACGCCGCTTGGTCGGCCAGTTGCAGTCTCTCTGGCAGACCCCTCTGGGGGCCCTGTCCTTGCTCACTTCTCCACTGTCCTCCCGTGTCCGGCGGCCCCCTCTGGCACCCTGTCTGGTCTTTACCTCCCCTCGTTCTCTACGAACTTGGTGAGTGGTGCTGACCTGCAGGATGCGGGGGTTCACCAGTTCACTCCTGCGAGTCAGCGGGTGACCCACTGCACGGACGCTCGGACAGGCCGACACCTGGCCACGTTTACTCGTCGGCCGGGGTCGAGCCTGTACACACTGACCACTGCGTCTCCTCCAGTTACTGAGTCTGGTAGGGTAGCTGCTGTCAACGGGAGCTGGGTATTGGCCCCGTCCTCGCTTGGGCGGAGCCGACTTCGTGGTCGGGTGTGAGGGGAGGAGCCGACCTGCGGCGGTGGGTGAGCTGGTCGACGAGGAGGTCGACCTGCATGGGGGACCACTGCAAGGGACGCCGAGCTGGGCGTCGCCATGACCACCCGGACACCTGGTCGACGTCGTGGGCGTCTGCACGGCGTCCGGGGATCCGGACGCCGACCTGGGCGTCGGGTCCTGACACCGACCTGGGTGTCTGGTCGGCGTCCTGGGAGGAGGGACGCCGCTTTGGAGGTTTGGTCGGCGTCCTGGGCGTCTGGACGCCGACCTAGGGGTTCGGAAGGCATTCTGGGCGCGCCTGGACACCAGACCGGGGACGTCGGGCATGCGTGACACTGCGTGAGTCGACCAGGCGTGGTTGCCCGGTCGATCGGGATACCTGGGCGACGTGCGCGAGTGTCGCCAGGATGGAGACTTCGAGGTCGACCTCGGGGTGGTATCCCGAGGTCGACGTGGCTGGTGGGCTCAGTCGCTGGCACGGGATCTGCCAGGCGTCTGCATTGTGCACGTGACTGGGAAGTGCACACCAACCAGCTGCGCGCATCTGCGAAGCAGGTGCACCGTTGTCTTGCGGATGCAACGCTGTGCAGCCGACTTGGTGCAGCGCTGGCACACCGTGGACTTGCAACGTTGGCGAACCGCTACTCTGCTACGCTGGAGCTGTGCGAGCACTGCTGCGCTGGAGTGCGGTCGACCGTGCTGCGCTGGAGGTCGACCAGCAGCCTAGCTAGCTCTGATGTAGTCAATGTTGCCAATGTTGTTGCTATCATTCTTCTGAATTTTTCCTAGTGGAACTCTTGCCAATTTTCCCCGTGAACTAGCAAGTAGTGCGCGCACAAGGAAAACGACTAAGGAACAGAGAACGCAGAGATCACACGAGCACACGTGCCTAGCCCGTAGTCTAACTCCCGTTGCTGCAGTTATCTCCGCATGGTGCGGTGAGCGTGGAAGACACCGCGACGTAGTTCAGTCTATCCGACTTAGCACATATCGATCGTGTTCGTAGACCGGCAGCCGTGCAATCACTAGCGTGCGCGTAGGCGACGCCGAGGTGATGGACACCCTGGAGGGACGGCTGGAGGATGCGAGGAGACGCCATGAGGCCCAGGAGTATGGGGCGATACCCTGGGCAGTCGTCGAGGCCGGACTCCGCTCCGTGTGGGCGGCGGAGCACCCCATTTCTCGACCTGCCTCTCCTCGAACGGTGAACAACGACGGCGGCGTCGACGTGGGTGTCAACGCCGGTGGAGGTCAGGTCGGCAGCAGTGTGGGAGGCACGTCGAGGCAACGAGGTGTGATACACGCCGGTGAAGCCGGCGACGTTCAGGCGCGAGGGATGCAGTCGTCGGCGGCTGCAGGCTCCTCGCATGGCGACGCTGGTGGGCGTCGAAGTGGATTGTCGCCGATGTCAGCGTCCCAGGTGACGACAGGTGGGATTGCGTCGAGCTACGGCTACTTCAAGTTTACGCCGGACAGGATCTCAGTCACCCCCCCACTGGTCGGTCGACCCGACATTCTCACCTGGAAGGAAGCTATCGAGCCCCAGCTGGAGATGGCCGAGCTGATCGGCTTCGCCCGAGGGACCGTGGCGACACCGGGGGAGCACCACCCTGACCTGCGTGCGGAGTTTCGCGCCGTGCAGCTGTTGACCTTCACGGTCATCTCGCGGTGCTGCTCGCCGGGCGTGCAGATCGCCTTGAAGTGGTGCCGGGAGTACCTCGACGCCGGCCACCGGGCGTGGCACTTCATTGAGTCAACGTACCAGGTCACCGACGACCTGTTCATCGCCCAGCTGGAGGGACAGCTGACACACCTGCGTATGGGCGACGAGGAGAGTGCGACCGACTACTGCAACCGAGCCAGGCGAATTCTCGTCACCATCAGGATGGCCGACGCGCAGTACTCCACGGCGTCGTACATCACCCATGTCATGCAGGGACTGTCTAGCAGCTATAACCTCCTGAAGCGGCTGTCTATGGCGCCGAGCACGAGGGCGACGCTCAACGAGGACAACCTGACCTCGTATATCCTGCAGGACGAGGCGATGCAGAAGGCTGAGCGGTTGCAGGAGCTCTTGGCGCAGGCGAACTTGGTCACCTCAGCGAAGCAAGGAGGCCGACCGGGACAGCGCGGGCAGTCTTGCAATGGTGGTAGCAGTGGCTGGAAGCTGGCCAAGGAGGTCGACAAGAGGAAGTCGACCAAGGACAGCGGTCGTGGAGGAGGAGGTTGACGTCGGGAATGCTGGCTGTGCGGCGATCCCGACCATCTCTCCTTCGAGTGTCCGAACCGCAGCGACTCCGACGACGACGATGCTAAGGGAGGCCGTGGGAGGTCTGGCAGCCGTCGTCCTCGTCGTGGAGGAAACCAGCCGCGCAAGGAGAAGCAGTCGACTAAGACATCGACTTCGGCGAAGG